GACAGGGTGGAGACACTGCAGTCTGAGGTCTGTGATTGACAGCTCCAGCTTTTCTTCTCTCCTTCTCTTCCCCTTACCACCAAACAAGTGGCAGCAGATGGTCGCCCCTCGCTCAGCCTGCTTCTGCTGGAGGTTTCTTCCTGTTAAAAGGAAGTTTTTCCTTCTGTCCTTTGCCAATTGCATGATAATAGCAGCTGTCTTTATGGTACAATATGAAGCCTCTTTTCTGCACAGTGATGTGTGTTATATAGACACATATTACTGTCCACATCAACTGTGATGAAGAAGTAAATTCAACACATGCACAGTGATGAGGAAAATGTCCTCCTTCATAGAAAAACAACATCTTTGGTGTTTTTTAGCTTCATCAGATTTTCAGACTCCGTACTGTTAGTTTCACTGATCCATCTACATATTAAGTGTAGTGATTCTCCCAGGACTGATACAGGTGTAGCAGTCCAATAGTAGCTTTCTACTGTACTTCATGTATTTGTTTATTACTGTAAGACTTGCTGGTATTCACCTTGTCCACTGGATTGATGTCTTTCTGTCCTTCCAACCATCCATGTGACCGTAAGGAATAATACTGGTGACGAACGTGTCCCTGTCTTATTCCACGCTGCGAACAGCAATACAATATTTTCTGACCTCAGGAGGTTCTCTGTCCGTCTTCTAGCATCCGTAGATCCTAGTTTTCACTGGGAGGTGATGTACTGCAACGTTACCTGCGTTTCTGTCTCATGGACTTGTTGTAGTCTGTTTGGATTTTCTCATATTAATGACATTTAGTTTTAGGGTGTCCTCAGTGCAAGAGGAGCTGTTTGTGCAGAAAGACAGGGTCATTGATCTGCCTGTGTTCTTTAAATCAGCAGGTTCATGTCTTATCTGGCTTCTGTAAATATCAATGACATTTCATTTAAGTGAAAAAGGCAATCGTGTCTTTTACAGATAAGGACTCTGACCGATGCATTGAAAATGGCTGAAGCAGAAGGAGCACAGCTGCTGTCTGAGAAGGAGCTCAGCACTCAGACCTCCACAGAGGAGATGGAGAAGCTGCTGTGCAGAGTGACGTCTGTCAGCGAGGAGAGAGA